TGTCATTCGACTCAGCTCGACGAGTTGAGTCGAATGAGCTATTATTTGCATTTTTGAATTTTTCACCCCAAAATGAGCTTACTCCCCCCTTCTCTTTTTCAAGCTTCAGGGGTCTGTATCTCGGTCCCTGATTGTCTGATCGACTTCTCTCACCCCGCGATCGACTCAGCTCGGCGAGCTCTTTCGAATGACACCTCATTTGTCCAAATCGGTCCAGCCAACAAAAACCCCCTATAAGTCACAATACCCAGAAAAATGTATAAAGAATTCAAAACCTAGTGGTGCATATACTTTTTGAACGCAGTGTAATACATGTATATAAAAAATTATTAAAAATTAAAATTCTGTAGAATTGTAAGGGGAACCACCTAGAGCATTTAAAACGCTTAGGCGGAGGTTAAACGATCTAAAAATGAAAAAGAGAAAACATTAGTCGATGCCTCTATCAGGAGGTCACAGGAATCCTGCCCGGCGCCCGTGCCAAAATTTTGCAAATTTCAATATTAAATTTAACTTTTTAACAAAATGTCCATTTATTATATATGTACGTAATTATAAATATGTATGTTTTCAATTTCATAAGCACGAGTGTCGATTTATAATTGTACTTCCAAAATAAGTATGAAGAACCCTATACATATTAAACAAAATTTGAATAAAAAATTCAGATCATTTTATCTATAATAACCAATTCGGCTTTCTAAATGGAGCAACTCTGAATTTTCTTATTCTTAAAATTGTTCTTCTTTATTTTGATTCATCCAAAGTTTATTTGCTACAAAAATTTTTGGAAACATTTAGTGAATGGTTATTAGCTTTAAAAAATAAAATTTGAACAGATTTTTAGGGATTGGAGATTTCCAGTCAAATTAGAAGAATTAACACAAAAATCGCAAAGTTGGAATGAAGAATCAGAAATTAATTTTAGAAAGAACCAATATCTTTCGAAATATATTAATTATAGTAATGAAGAAAAAATTAGATTAGAAAAACATACAAATCTAATTATGGTTGTGTTAACACTTGGTTACCCAGAACAGAATTGTTCATATAATGTTAATTATTCTACCAGAAAGATTATTTTGAAAGAGTTTGAGAATGGTATAAATTTTTAAAAATTTTATCAAGATTGAAAGCGAAAAAGTTTTAAAAATCTGAGTTTGGACCTATTTATGCTTATATTTTAGAAAATATTTTTATGAAAAACTAATTAATAATATTCAAAATTATTAAAAACTTAAGGAATTGATATGTTAAATAATGCAAAGAATACTAATGACGGGAATGAGAATTTAAAACAAGCCTGGAAAATGTGGCTTAATGGACCGAAATTTTTGGAAAAGGTTGAAAATTAATCCAAAATATTTTACTAACAATTACTAATTTTAGTATAAACATTTTTTGTTTATCTTATGCATTGATAAATTTCACACAAAAGAAAGCGAAAATTATTGTCGTTTTTTTGAGAGTCGAATCCGTTTAGAATTAATTTTTACAATTGAAGAAGATCAAAAACAAATAAAATATACTCATGCAACTAGTCAAGAAAATTGTCTACCAACTGGAATTAAAGAAAAATCTAGGTAAATATAACAGTCAACAAAGTATTCGTCCTTGCCTTGTAACTCGAGTAGGGGGTAGATAATTTTCGATGTTTTTGATATCAATTTATGGATAATTATATACACACAAGCAAATGAAAAATTAAAATTCAAGACTGGTTTATAAAACAGTTATGATCAAACGACTAAATTTTTCGTTTTTTCGGGAATTTATCGATAAAAAATTTATACTCAACCAAGAATTTTGATTTCATGGTATCTTGTGGTGTATTTGATTATCAATTTGATTCTCTATCCATTAGTGTCATAAGCATCAAGAAATGCTGCTATATCATCATAAGTTATCGGGTAAAGAACTCTGTTTAAACAGGACTATGTTGAGGTGTATGTATCAAAGGCTCCCGGACAATGCGTCAGTGGACTTTGCGTCAGTGGAAAATGCGTCAGTGGTCAATCGGTCAGTGATAATATAAACTGATTAAAAGTGATGATATAAAAGATAAAAATCAACTGATATTTCTCCGAATCGACTGATCTCCATCTTAATCAAAGCAAATAACTTCATATCTCTAATAATCCTCCCAAACTCGAGATATCGGCCTTAATCCCAACAAATCCCCCTATATCTTTTAAACACCCAAAATCACTTTTTAAATACTCCTAATCTGTTTATATCCCATCTTTAGTCGTTTTATATATCATTTTTTATCCCTTTATCTCATCACTTTTAATCACTTTATATCAACACTGACCGATTGTCCACTGACGCATTTTCCATTGACGCATTTTCCGGCACGGTATCAAAATGATAATACTAATACATATTTTAAAAATTATATTTTAAAGTTTTAGTGGCCATTATATCAAGCATTGGTGGGTAGGAATTGAAACAAATAAATTTATAAAACAATTAGAATTTAATAAAAATAATGGTAATATTTTAAATAAATTCGTTGAAAATATTAAAAACAAAACACCTGCTGTTTTATTAAATAAAGATAGAAAAGTAGAAGTAATTTATTTGGAAGGAGATAGTGAAGAAATAGATGAATGTCTAAGAAATTAAATTATTAAAAACAATAACAATTGGGATGTCCGATTAATTTAATTTTAATTATAACACAAATAAATATATGATGTTTTTAACCTTTAAATTCAATAAATTTTAATTCAAATTTATATCAAATAAAATTCTCGAAAGTCGGGTAGAACATGGATCAGCATTCTTTTGGCCCTCACAAAGGAGAGTGTTTTGGGTGTCCGTGGGACTTCGATGAGATTTGGTAGACAGGTAGATGTATTCGATCATTTGAAAAGTATACCCTTTTTATTGAGAAACTAGAACCATATTTGCAAAATGGTACCGGGGACCGAGTTATAGGCCCCAAAAGTTTTAGGGTCCCCCACATATAAACAATTTCTATCTAGTCACAAATGTGTTCGGTGGTGTTGCAGTGGTAGGTAGCGTTCTTGCATTTAATTTTTTTCCCAGGTTCAAATCTTTATTGGGAAAATTAATTTGTTTTAACATAATTTTAATCTTTTATTAATTCTGAATTGTTTTTCCGAATGTTTTTAGCCAAAATTGAAAACTTTTTTTAATTTTCTTAAATATTTATTTCTTTACATTATTCATTCCCAGGCTGTTCTACAAAACGCCTTGTATTCGATCATTTGAAAAGTTTTTAAAAAATTTTAAAAAAATTTAGAAAATTTTTTAAAAATTAAAAAAAATTTTAAGAAACAAAAGTGTTAAAATAAATTAATTTCCAGTCAGGATTCGAACTTTGGGAAAAAAGTAAATTCAAGAGCGCTACCCCTCACCACCGAAGAACACAGTTGTACACTCTGTTAACTAATTATACGCACCCTCTATTTTTTGCATTTTTCAAGTGGAAATTGGAATTTGGCTTTCTAGCTTTTTGTGTATCAGATCTAAATGTTAAAAGCCATCTATTATCAAAAAATTTTAAATTTAAGAATTTCTTTTTCAGACTTATGGATATTTTTATCTTAAATTGTTAGTAGCGCATCGTATCATTACGTATCCCTTTATTCTTTTATATATTTCCTAATCTCGGTATCTTTCGAGACTTCAAGATAGCCATCATTCTTGTTTTTCCTATATTTCTACAAATCCTCAAAAATCAATATTTGAGTGTGATATCAAGGGAGCAAGAGGTTAAGTATATCATTGTCTTGGAAAACTGAGTTTAATAAAAAGTTTAGCAAAACTTTATATTGAAGTTGTGTTACCTAGTTTTAATTTAGTATCACTTAATGAATTTAAAAACTTTCACGTGTCAATTTGTTTTTTAAATCAAATAAATATTTTTAAAAGTACAATTTCTTAATTTTGTCCAATCAATTCTTTATTTAATTTTTTATTTTATATATTACTCTTAAAAATTGATTTTAATAATCGTACATAGATTTATTTATCGCCTGTTTGCCTTCACTCATTCATAAAACAGTTTTGAATTGTGTCCTTTATTTAAAATCCTTGTAAAATCTTTTAAAAAGCTTCTTAAATTTAGAAAAATTTCCCGCTTACTGTATAATTTCAGAAAAATGATTTCTACTAAGATTGAACTTTTTGTCAATTTAATTTCTTTGTTGTTTTCTTATTCATTTTCAAATATTCAAACACATCAACGTTTTAATTTTACAAAAAATGATGAAAATCTCGTTGGAGACATTAATGTGAAGAAAATTGAAATCAACAAAACAAATGAAAATACATCAGAAAAAACTTTGGAAATTATTATTGAATTTGGGGCTATAAACAAAAAACACAAATTGTTATTAAGAGATTTACATTATTCCTGTGAATATCTAAATTTACCTTATGAAGAAAAAATATATAAAGTTGAAAATATACGAAATGAGACAAAAGAAATTCATTTTATAGAAAAATTTGAAAATATTTACAGAAGAGGATTTAGTATTTGTTTAAAATCAAATCGAGAAATGAAGGTGAATAAATTTATTTTATTATATAAAAACTATTAAAAATAATGTGTATGTATAGTTTTCAATATAATAGGCGCTATTTAACTTTCGTAGAGTCTTCCAAGTTTTCCTTTAATATTCCAATGCTACAAACTTACACGAATCATTCCAAGATTTATGAAATCTTGGATTTATGGAAAACAAGATTTATGGAAACACGGTCTTGCATTGTCGAAAAATGCAGGACCGTGTTTTGTCATACATTGTTGTGCCAGCAAGACACAGCACAAACATGTTGCTAAAGCAAAAGAATATAGCAATAAAATGTTAATTAAGAAATGTTCCTTGTTTCAAAATAAAAATGCAAGAATGTCTTAATATTGAAAATGGGGAATATTTTTTTCTATTGGTTGCCCCTTTAAAACATGGAAAAGTTTCTTCGGCAAGCTCTATTTAATTAAAGCTTGTTTTATTTAGGAATTGATCATGATAAAGCCACTTTTCCATGCCAAACTAAATTTTCAACCAGTGTTCAACGAAGTCAATGTTAATTTCTACCAAATTTACAATGCAATCCTTACCAAATTTAAATGGTTATTAGATTTGGAAGGAGTGAATAATTATATTGAAATATGTGCAAAATACGAAGAAAAAGGCAACTATATAATAGCAATTCATTTACCTAGTAACGAGGAAAACATTAGAATGCCTTTTATTGTAGAAGCCATGCAAATTTTTGTAAAAGTTGATGATAAACTCAAGAAATGTGTTTCAACTAAAATTAAAATTGAGTCAGATGAACTGAGGAATACCTTGGGCAAGTTAAAGACAGGTGTAGGGATTGCGATTGTTAAGTCTCATAGAAATTTAAAAGATGGAGAAATGATAAAACAAGGAAATAAATTATTTAATGATTTTGAATTATATGGTGGTGAATATCCGTTTGAAGATGTGTTATGTGTTCAGGTGTTAAAGCCATTATTTGATGATGAGAAAATAACTGAAAATAAAAATACATTTAATACAAATGTAACAAAATATTTGAAACAAAGAGAAGAAAAGTATTTATCGAAAAATATTTTATTTAAAGAAAGTTGGCAAAAATGGTTTTTATTCGATGGAAAATTTTATAAGGTCGGGGAAAATGGAAAAGCAGATTATATAGATTAAAAGAATACTGCAGGAAGTAAGAATAATTTACAGTAAATTCCAATATACTAAATTTTGGGTAGGGTTCATTCACGGTTTACATTACTTCGATACAAAAATGGAGTTGATAGCTCAATTCCCCTTTGATATAGTATTTAATTCGGATTTTGGCTCTATATTTGGACATACGTCCCATGCAATATATGCGTCCCATAAAAGTTTATGCGTCCCATGAAAGTATATACGTCCTATAAAAGTTAAAAAATGTTTACAAATTGTTTTGCGCTTATATTAATTTTGGTACGCATATACATTCATGGGACGCATATACTCTGATGTGACTTATGTCATAAGATAGACACTGGATTTTTGATATGTTAATGTTAAATTTAAGATCATTACAAAATCATATATTAATAAGAATAGGAGTCAATTTTTAATTTTAGTTTAAATAAAATGATAAAAACAAATTAAATTTTAATAAATAAATGTAGTGAAAATAGTATAAGCGAAAATAGTTTAAACAAAATCTGCCACAATCATGTTAATAAAATTTATTTATAGCACCAGATCAAAAAACTCCTCAACCGAATTATTTTTTAAATTTTAGTAAAAATGTCTTTGGCAGTAAGTATGTATTAAGAGTTTAAAGCAGAAAATATAACTCTGTTTTTTATGAATTCATATTTAAATATATTTATAAATTTATATTTAAGTTAATTTATATTAAACATGATTGATTAACCTTTGTATCGATATTTACCTTTTTCCTTCAAATTATCCGGAACCGAGATGCGAAACAAAATTATATATATAAACTTTTTCGATCCGGATAATCAGAACCGCCCAGCATAATTATTACTCATATTTTATTGTTTTCAATTATTTTTGTATCATTCAAATTTTCTTTAATATAAGTATTTCAGAGTATAATGAACATTAATTGAATGGATATCGGGTTTCAGGTCATCTAAAGGGATATTTTGGATATTCGTTATTTGAAAAAATAAGGTGATATAAAAAATTTGTAGCATTAAAAGCGATATATCCCAGACCTCGAAACCGTTATCCATCCAAACTCTTAAATCTTATCAGCACACGCCCACATGTAGTATGCTTCATTTTTAATTGAAAGTGGAAAAAATTTTTCCCCCGTTTTTGCATTCTTGTGTTTCGAACACTTTTTTAAAGTTCGAGAAAAATTGTCAATTTTTCATTACTGTCGATAAAATTTTGTATTCATTAGAAAACCTATATTCTAGTTTATTATCCTTAAAAGTAATAGACTTCTAACTTAAAGACTTCCCAGGTTTCACTGTTCAAAAGATATTATCAAGTGTGCATTATTAGCAGCTCCTTGTATTTAAAGAGCTTTTAAATAAAAACAAAAGTTTGCATAACCTGAGGTAAAATTATTAAGTTTAATCATTGAAGTAATATTGAATAGAAATTCATAAATTAATATTTTTAAAAATAATAAGGGAAATAATAATAAAAAATAAAAACAAAAGTTTGCATAACCTGAGGTAAAATTATTAAGTTTAATCATTGAAGTAATATTTTTTAATCATTTAATCATATTTTGAGAGAATTAACATTAAGTTCGTATATTTGTATCACTGTGATAGATCATCTAGCAATTATTAACCGTTAAAAATGATTTGTTGATTTTTACAGATGCGAAAAAAATTTTGTAAAAATTTTGATTGCAAAATATCAAGGAAAAATCAGCACTGATTAGATAAAAACGGCATTCAAATGACCTAAACCGTTATTACGGTAACAAATTACGCTCACTATTTATAAATAATTAACATTTGAATTAATATTCTTGAATATATTGAAATCACTAAATTTTAGATGTTTAAATATTTTATTTTTTTATAAAATTAATTAAAGAAAATTTAAAAATTAATCTATTTAAATATTATGTAAGTATCAGGAGTGTGCCAGTTCGCTTTTTACGTGAATTGCGAAAATTTTATACACCCGAAATGCAGGTGAAAGATGGTAAAGTGGTAAAGTTTTTGTATTTAATGTTAGCCTCATTTTTTTATACTCTTTGGTATTAAGGAATCTATTTTATTTTGTAAAACATGATAAATGACACCTTTATTCAGCAAACATTCTGACTTTCGGGTTAGTTGCATGAAATTTAGTAATATAATAGAAAAAATGTCAACATATTTTTTTAAAACAAAAAGATTCGATCTAATCCTTCCATTTCTATTGAATTTAATTCATAAAAAATAAATCATTTTGAGTTAGAGTTAACGGATTGCATTCTTTCTCGCAAATAACAGCACCACAAGAGCTTACACAATCAAGATCAAGCCATAAGCCGGCTGGTGGAACAACTGCAGTACAATCATTTGAAGTCGGGCAACGAGTATTTCCTAGAGATTTTGGACATCCAAGAGACCATGGAGTATTTCCACCGTTAAGCTTTTTAAAATATTTTCGAAAAATATAAGATAAGAATTCTACTTTTTACCTGAACTATAACTCCATAATCTGAAGGACTGCCATCATCCCAAAAATTGTGTATCTGTCCTCCAAGTATAGCATTTCTATGCAACCCAATCCAAGAACAATTTATTTGTATAGTTTGGCTTACATATGAAACTGTAGCTTGTTGTAGCTCAGAATGAATAGAAGCTACTTTAGCGCCCACACTTTGACAAGTAGCTATAGCCTTAAATATTTTAAAATTGTATATCTGAAAAATATTTTGCCTGCCAATAATTTCCAGGATAGGAAATCGGAAGTTGTTTGTATTCTCTATCATTTGCCACTTGCCATCCATTTATGCCACACATTTTTCCAGAACTTACACCATTACAAGGACGTTTACAAATGCCTCCTGCTAGTTTACGATAGCATGAAATGTCATTCCAATTAACATTTCCATCGGCTCCTTTATACATACAAACACAATCCTCTGGGGAACCCTCTTTAAAATTTTATGTATTTTAAAGCAGATAAATTCAAAACAGACTTTGAGGATTACTTCCTGTATCATTTAAACCACTAGGACATCCTTGGCCCCACGGCTGAATTTGTATTGTCGGAACTCCAGGTGATGGAACGGATGCATAATCTACTGAAGAACCGACTGCCCAAGTTTGAACTACTGTTGGATCATAACTGGAAATTTTTATTTAGACCTAATTTTAAATTTTATTATTCGATCGATCATTACTTTAACAAGCACAAGATTTGATAAAGAATTTTTATTCAAAAAATTCTTCAAATCTTTCATCAAACTTACAAAGGTTCGATAGCAGCACGGTTTAGACCAATATAAAAAGAACGGAACATACTATCAAGTGATGGAATTGGAACTCTTTGTCTACACAAAATATTATTAGTTTGACATTGATCAAGTAAAGACATGGCTAATTGAACTACAAATTGTTCTTCCTCATCACTGTGAACGCTGACCAGTTCTCCTCCTTCTTTATTACATAAATTTCTTGCCTAGTAGTTGCAAAATAATTATTTTATTTTAAATTAATAAAAACAGATTATTTCACAAGAAAATAATTTTTCATCTTTTTCGGTTCGTTTCCGGCTATCTGAAGATATTTCAATGTATCCAAACCGAATAACCTTATTTAATACATTTATTCAGAGAACAGTCGTAAAAAATATTTTTTCAAAAAACCAAAATACCTGATAATAATTAATCATATCTTGCATAATCACTCTATATCCATAAACAACCCCAGAGCTATCTAGCCTACTAGCCCAACCATCAGGACATTGATTTGATCCACCATTTTCATTGGAATTAGAGTTTACGTGGGATTCGGAATTAGAATTCGTATTTAAAAAACTTGTCGTTTGACTATTTGAAGTTTTTAAATTTATTAGACAAATTATAGATAAAATTGAACAAAATTTTTGAAATGATATAAATATTAAATATATCTTATTTTCCTTACAAAATTTAAAGATATCAATATATTTTTAAATAAATTTTAGAAACTAATTAGAAAAAATCAAAACATATTTTAAGAGACCTCTTGTATGAGGAAAAACATTAAATTTATGGAAACCTAAACTTAACAATTCTAGAAAAAACATTGAACGTTTATATCACGCAAAGCTGTCAAAGCTATTAGTCAAAGCCTCAATACACGCTTCAATCAAAACTCAAATATACATAGAGATATGTATTTAGTAACTCTCAATTAATGACTTTCAATAATAAATGTTTAATAAGTGAAAATAATTAAAAATTATTTATAAAGAGTCAGAAAAAAGAAAATAAGATTAAAGCTAAACCTTTTGTGTTGTGAACCCAAAAAGTTTGTCCAAGCGGTTTTATTTAAAATATAAAATTGGCCATAAAATTAAAAATAAATACATAAAAGGTGCAGAAACTATTCTATAAATGGTAGGGGCCAAATACTTTTTGTGTTTTAATTTTTTGTTTTACGTTTTTTTGTTTTTTGAAAATAATTTTAATATTTATTATAAAATAAAAATAAAGTTTGTATTTGTTATTTAATTTTAGAAAGTATTAAAAATAAATATTAATCTAAGATTTCACAATTTGCAAGAATTAAAATAATTTTATTCAAATATACGATACATAAAATCAAACATTTAAAATTAATTCAGTAGGATTTTAATATTTTAGCTGTTTCTTTTTATAGATTGTTAAATCTTTATGTAAAAACTCTAAGTTGCATCCATGTTAGAATGTTATCAAGTCTAAATTAGTATTTTTAGAGAAGAGACGTTGTAATTTGAAAAAACTTCTAGACCTTTTGCATTTTAATACCCTTTTGCATTTATCTTGAATAATGGTCATGATTTGTTAGAATTATCAAAATAATTAACACCACCAAAAGAATCCCCTGTGTAAAATGACAAAACACAACACAACATTACTTATAAACCCCGTGGCAGCAAAATATTGACATAACTACTATCAAAATATAAGATGAAAGTTGAGTTATAAGAAAAAACAAAAAATATTAAAACATAAATTAAAATTGTTTATTATTTAT